AAGTATATATATATATATTCTTCTTTGTTTCTCCTCTTCCCCTCTCTCCTACCACTCCCAGCACGACTTAGATATTTTGTCAAAAGTATGGAGACGAAGAGATTGTGATACTGGAAGAGAGGGGGGGGAAGGGAGGGAAAGAAGTAAGGGAGAAAGCAACTCATATATAATTCAATCCTAATTGTTCTTCTTCTTCTCTTCCCTATCCGCTCACCTTCCTCTTGATACAAAGCTAAAATGCAATGGAATAGAATATAGGATGAATCCGTGTCTCATCTGGCAGCTCATCTTCATTCATAGATGAATGAAGACTTAAGAGACCGAGTTACTACACACTGAGTCATGTATTCCCATGTAATATGGGACCTATTGTCAGTAGTATTTACTACTTGTTGTTTTTTTTGTTTGTAAATATAATTGTATTGTATTGTTTTGTAATGTATAAAGTAAATTTAATTATCGTACGGAAAAAGAAAAATCTTTCAACAAGAAAAGGTCCTCATCCAAAAGCAAGTTTTAGAAATGTTCATATTGTCAGAAACTAAATTAGAAAATGGTTACATTTCTATCCTTAGACGTTCAAGGGTTAAATTCTCCCTTTAAAAGATCAAATGTTTTTGAATACTTAAAAAAAAAAAAAGCTCAAGTAATCCTCTTACAAGAAACCCATTGGTTAAAATCAGATTCGCTAAAATTTATTCCAGAGAGATTTTCAGTTAAAATGACTGCATCATTGGAAAATAATAAAAAGAGGGGAGTAGCCCTATTAGTTACAGAATATCTACATTTTAAGATACTATATTAAGATATTAACATGGAAGCAAGATATATAATATTAGTTTGTAAAATACAAGAACAGATATACACTTTTGTTAATATATATGCACCGAACAGCCATACAATTAATTTTATAAACCATCTATTCTCAAAATTGTATAAGATTAAACAATGGATGATTTTAATTGGGGGGGGGGGATTTCAACTGTATATTCGACCCATATTTAGATAGGGTATCAAGACCTGGTACCTCGGCAAATAAAAGAAATTTGAATGATGCATATCAATTCTTAAAGTTAGTCAAAAATAACAATTTATTTCTATCTCTGGAGAATTTTTCATCCAGGAGAGAAAGATTATAGTTGCTTCTATAAAACCCACTGCTCTTACTTGAGAATAATTATCTCTTAGGAAATTTAAAATTAACTAATAATATAGGTAAAGTGGAAATTCGAAAAAAATGTCATGGTCAGATCATAATGCAGTTACGTTAGAGCTAAAACAAAACCTATTTGAAGCAATAGCGCATGAACAACCATATTTTAAACAATAACAAAGAAATAAAAAAAAATATTAAGGAATTTATCTAACATAATAAAAGTAGGGAGGTTTCTGCGCCCATGGTATGGTGTACCTTCAAATTGGTTTTAAGAGGGCATTTAATAAAAATAGGGACGCAATTTAAAAGGAAAAATCCAACACAACTTCCGGATTTATATATATTGCTTTATGAAATTAGTAGAAAGAATAAGGAATATTCAGTATGCTGATTATTAATATGTGGTTTTTATGAAGATTGAAGGTATAGTTTTGGAGTTATAAAAATGTATAAAAATGTATGTTTAAATTGTACGTTATAATTGGGTTACCTCTCAGGCTAAGGGGAGGGAATCTGTGGGATGTAACCATTGTGTGATTGGGTAATGTTTAATTGGATGTGGGCGTCTCCCTTGCAGGGGAGAATTGCATAAAAGCAGAGTGTGTGTAATTAAACCAGAGATCTTCTTGACCCTCAATACGTAGCCTTGTCTCGTTATTGGAGGGAACTGCTATATCACACTGGGGATTGCTATGCGCTGCATATTCCCTTGAGCTTTAATCACTTAGCTCTTTTGAGAGCTTGTTCTTGTTCCTGATACGCTCTCCTGGAGGAGAGGTCTAACCCACACGGTCCTGAATGCTGGAGGTTCATTCCAGGGTGGACGGAAGATGGCGCGGCTCCAGTTAAGCTACGGCAGTTGTGGAGTCTGCGGTGGTTGTGGTGTCGTCTGCAGTGCGTGGAGTCCTCAGGAAGCGCTAGGAGCATCCGTCAACGGAAGGTGTCCGTTACAGATGCTATTCGCAAACATCATTCCCATTTTAAAACCTGGAAAAAAAACAGAATTAATAACAAACTATAGACCAATCTCTCTGATAAATATGGATACAAAAATATATACATCAATATTAGCCAATAGACTACAAAAGATATTTTCAAATATAATCCATTTAGACCAGATGTTTTTTTTTTTAAAGGAAGATCCTCTGTAAGTAAAATAAGAAGAATAATTGATATTTTAGATAGTGTAGACAGATCAGGAGTCCCATTTGTAGCCCTATCATTATATGCTGAAAAAGCATTTGATAGGGTCAAGTGGGACTACCTGAAGTCAATATGCAAACAATGGGGTCTGACTGGATGGATCTATGATGCTATATGGGCTTTATACACAGGTCCTAAAGCAAGAACAATGGGGGGTGGATATCCTCAGACTGGTTCAGGGTGACCAATGGTACCAGGTAGGGGTGTCCTCTGTCCCCTCTGCTATATGTATTGTTCATTGAGTAAGCAACAAGAAAGAATTCAATCAAACGAATTAATGAATAATATATCTGAATATAGTAAACAATCTAGCTAAAAATTAAACATTGATAAGACACTGATTTTAGACAAAAATCTAAGTGTAGGCATGAAAGGAGAAATAGAAAATACTTTCAAGTTCAAATGGGCAAAAAACAAGATCCAGTACTTGGGTATAAAAATAACAAGAAATCCTAGTAAAATAATGAAAAATAATGTATTATCCCTAATGAAACAAATGAATAAACAACTCAATATTATTTAAGAACTCAGATATATCATGGCTAGGAAGAGTAAATGTCATCAAAGCTTATGTTATGCCAAAATGGCTTTATACCTTTCGAATGATATCCCTAAAAACACCAAAAACCCTGGCTAGCAATGATTCAGTCTTATTTCAATAAATTTATCTGGAGAAAAAAAAACAAGAATAAGCTTAAAAACACTATCGCTAAGATTTAAAAATGGTGGACTGGACTTCCCTAATATATTCCAATTAAATGAGGCATGCGGAATAGCTTATATTATAAATAGTTTAAGACAGGAGGCTATAGAATAATCTTGGTACCAAATAGAAACAGCGAGTTTGGAAATCAATGATATTAGAAAATTCTTCTGGAATTTAAATAAAAAACAAGGAAAATCGATGTCAAATTTCTCACTAATAATGAGAGATGCACCCAGCATGGAAAAATATAAAGGAAAAGTTAGACATTCAAGGAAAACCCATAGATGCTCTTCCAATTGAAGTGATAGAGATAAACATGGAGAATATAGATATAAAAAAGTGGAAAGAAAAGGGGATAAAACAAATAGAACTTATAAAAAATAATAAAATGCTACCTGTAACGGAACCGCTTGCACCCCGACAGGGTACCTTCCGTTGATGGATGCTCCTAGTGCTTCCCGAGGACTCCAAGCACTCCACCTGACACCATAACCACTGCAGACCCCACGAACCGCCGCAGCTTGGTTGGGGTCTCGCCGTCTCCACCCGCTCTGGACCCAAGACCAGGGTCCAGCTTCCAGTAGGTCGACCTCTCCGAATTCCAGAGAGCAGGAACAGGAACAAGCTCTTAGCAGAGCTTTGTGATTTGTGATTATACCGTGGGGAGTATAGTGATTATAGCAATATAGTGTAGTTTTCCAATCCCCCAAACATGAACCGAAACTTCATGAAGGTACAAGATGATCTGTTTAATCAGCAACCAGGGCTTTCTTTTATGCAGGTTTTACACACAAAGTACCGCCCACAGGGTTTTGTGGAACAGCCAATCAAACACGTACAATATAGTAAAACACTCCCATTCATTCCAGCAAAATCCTCCCCTCTGCCTGTGATATAATTACTGTACACAATGGGTTAATGTAATTATCACAGGCAGGAAATACAGGAAATACAGGAAATACAGTTTTTATACAATTCTCATAACTTACAAACTATACATCCAATCTCTCATTTACATATTATTACTCAGCATACTTCAAATACAAACATACCCAAAAATCATACAAATCCCTCCAGTGGTTAAAAAGTTAGCTGGAAGTCCTTTTTGACCGACCGCAAGCATGCTTTCCTGCCCAAAATAGTTCCATAGATTTGGGCTGTGCAGTCGGTCAGTTTCACTCAGAAAATTAACAAAGTCCCATTCGAATGCATGAACGGGCGTGCAAATAGCACAGTATACCATGGCGTTCGAACCGTCGAACGCACTTCAACTTTAGCCGAAGGGTCGAAGTGAAGGAGAAGGTAAGGGTCAGCGGTGTTTGTGCAAATGTGTAGCCGATTTTTGTTCCATGGATTCAGGGGCACACACCGCTGACCGCGTTCGACTGAATAAAGATGGCTGCCACCACGTGTTTGACTGTACGAACGGCGACCACCCAGCGGTCTGCAATTAACCTACAGCAACCTCCCAGCCTGGGAGGTAAATTAGCCACACACTTCACCCTTCTGTGTGGTCCGCCTGTGCAGTACTTGGTTCGGTAAGCCCCAGTTACTGAACCAAGTGGGGAAAAAAACCAGGTACAAGTTATTTTCACAGTCTGGGGACTCTGGGGACACGGTTTTAAAGGGACACTGTTCCAATTATCACCAAGTCCCAAAAATGTGCTTAAAGGGCCAGCACCAGTCCCATAAAAGTCCATAAGCCCCAATAATGTTTTTAAAGGGCCATACACCCCCGGGGCGTAGTCATAAGGTAGGAGGCTGGCAATCAGGCTCCTCAAAAAGCCAGGGGCAAGGGGCAGTGGGTCACATAAACAGCCAGTGACAAAAGGCAGTTTGTCACACTACCATTTTAACAACTTATAAAAGACTGGAAGTTGCCTCCAACGGAAAACTTCTCTTACCTAGGAATAAAAAAGTTTCCTATCTAAATACAGGAAATATAATTTAACAGAAAAAAACATCTCATTTTATCAAAATGATAAATGAAGAAAAGAGCCATAAAATTATAACTAAAGCAATGTATTTAATCTATCTTTATTCTAAGTATAATGAAATCCAGGCTATAAAATCTTGGAATAAAGATTTACAGCTAGCAACAGGACATAGTGAATGGTCTAAAATGCTAACTCAAACAAGAAAAGCCGTACATTGGTTAAACTTAATAGAAATACAATACAAGTTGGCTAACAGGTGGTATTATAATCCCTTAAAACTATCTAAAATATATCCAGCTAGATCCCCTGAGTGTTGGAGGTGTGGTAAAATGAGTGCCGATACGATACATATATGGTGGTCTTGTCCTGAAATAAGAAAGTCTGGCAGACAATATTTAAATGGATAGAGAAGTGGACATCAAAGAAAGAAATTAAAGTACTCTCCTGCATCCGCAATTCTACACATAGGTTAACAAATAATAGAAAAAGATAAACGAGATCTAATAATCCATACTTTAATAGCAACAAAATTACACATAGCTAAAAATTGGAAATCTCACCATCCACCAAAAATAGCTGATATAAAACTGCAAATTATTAATCAATGTCAAATAGAACAAGGGATTAATGGATATTTTAATTTAAGCAATGATACAAGATGGAAGGAATGGATAGAAAAGATCAAAAAAGAGTAATAATTATGAAAGAATAAAAAGGAAAAGAAACAGGTAGGAAAAGGGAAAAGAAATATTGGGAAAGGTAAATGAGAAGGAAGAGGTCAAAAAGATTGAAAAACACAGTTAATAAAATCTTAGAGGTAAATGAGTCGATAGACGTACGATAAAAGCAGAAAATCTACGAGGAATTATATTAATGTAATGTTCTGCTATACCTGCTATAGGGTTTAGGGAAGAAAGAGGAAAAGGAATATATTAAAGGAATCACTAGATAGTATATCGTATTAACATTTGTTAACAGGATAAGCATTACATAGGTGTAGTATTGTATGTTTAGTTTTTTGTTGTGTTTTTTTTTTAAAGCTAATTAGTTTATATCTCAAGATAGAATTAGACCTATTAATATTGAAGTTATTTATAAGGAAACTAAGCAAGAATATCCTGCCTTGAAACTTGACCCAAGATAATACAGGCGTGATAGACGGGTATACTCCAGGTTTCTAGGATTATATTAAACCAAAAATCTTAGATGGTGTAAACTTTCCATTTAATTGCTTCAAAAACAAATAAAAGGAAAAAGTAAAGAAGATGAAATGAGGAAAAGAAAGAAAAAAGGAAAAGGAAAGGGAGAAGGGTAAAGGAAAGAAAAAGAAAAGAGAGAGAAAAGGAAAAGGAAAGAAAAGGAAAGGAAGACAAAAAGGGGGAATGTTCAGGAAATTAGTGCACTTTTTCGCCTTAAATTATATTTTTAAATATAAAAATTAGAATATCTGGAAAGGTCTTATTATATACTTGATAGGTATTATATTCTTAGATATGATGGTAACCGTTAATCGAATAAAACAATATTTAACATGGCCAAAGCTTAGAATTTTTTTTGTTTTAGATGTACTTGTGTGTTTTGGAAAATATAAATAAAGATTAGATATAAAAAATAACAAAAAAAAATGTGTGCACTCTGACCGAATTCCAGCCTTTATAAGGGTATTTCATGCTTTGAAACTTCAGCCCACATGGAGTTCTACATATTTATTTATTTTTTTTGCTAAATTAAGATTTTTTTATCTTATTGGTTATTTTGGCCTTTTTTTATTTAAAAAAAAAACAAGACTTTTAATGTAAAATATAGACATTTTTTATCGGTACTTTTGATTTATTAACCATCTTCCTCGCTATATTATACCTCTACATTCACCATTAACCATCTCCCTCCCTATATTATACCTCTACATTCACCATTAACCATCTCCCTCCCTATATTATATCTCTACATTCACCATTAACCATCTCCCTCCCTATATTATATCTCTACATTCACCATTAACCATCTCCCTCCCTATATTATACCTCTACATGCACCATTAACCTTCTCCCTCCCTATATTATACCTCTACATGCACCATTAACCTTCTCCCTCCCTATATTATATCTCTACATTCACCATTAACCATCTCCCTCCCTATATTATATCTCATTCACCATTAACCATCTCCCTCCCTATATTATATCTCTACATTCACCATTAACCATCTCCCTCCCTATATTATATCTCTCATTCACATTAACCATCTCCCTCCTATATTATACCTCTACATGCATTAACCTTCTCCCTCCTATTATACCTCTACATGCATTAACCTTCTCCCTCCCTACCCTCCCTATGATATGCCTCTGCATTCACCATTAACCATCTCCTCCTATGTTATACCTCTACATGCCATTAACCATCTCCCTCCTATATTATATCTCCACATTCACCATTAACCATCTCCCTCCCTATATTATATCTCTACATTAACCATTAACCATCTCCCTCCCTATATTATACCTCTACATGCACCATGAACCATCTCCCTCCCTATATTATACCTCTACATGCACCATTAACCTTCTCCCTCCCTATATTATACCTCTACATGCACCATTAACCTTCTCCCTCCCTATATTATATCTCTACATTCACCATTAACCATCTCCCTCCCTATATTATACCTCTACATTCACCATTAACCTTCTCCCTCCCTATATTATATCTCTACATTCACCATTAACCATCTCCCTCCCTATATTATACCTCTACATTCACCATTAACCATCTCCCTCCCTATATTATATCTCTACATTCACCATTAACCAGCTCCCTCCCTATATTATACCTCTACATTCACCATTAACCATCTCCCTCCCTACATTCACCATTAACCATCTCCCACCCTATATTATACCTCTACATGCACCATTAACCATCTCCCTCCCTATATTATATCTCCACATTCACCATTAACCATCTCCCTCCCTATATTATATCTCTACATTCACCATTAACCATCTCCCTCCCTATATTATACCTCTACATGCACCATTAACCATCTCCTTCCCTATATTATATCTCCACGTTCACCATTAACCATCTCCCTCCCTATATTATATCTCTACATTCACCATTAACCATCTCCTTCCCTATATTATATCTCCACATTCACCATTAACCATCTCCCTCCCTATATTATATCTCCACATTCACCATTAACCATCTCCCTCCCTATATTATATCTCTACATTCACCATTAACCATCTCCTTCCCTATATTATATCTCCACATTCACCATTAACCATCTCCCTCCCTATATTATACCTCTACATGCACCATTAACCATCTCCCTCCCTATATTATATCTCCACATTCACCATTAACCATCTCCCTCCCTATATTATATCTCCACATTCACCATTAACCATCTCCCTCCCTATATTATATCTCTACATTCACCATTAACCATCTCCTTCCCTATATTATATCTCCACATTCACCATTAACCATCTCCCTCCCTATATTATACCTCTACATGCACCATTAACCATCTCCCTCCCTATATTATATCTCCACATTCACCATTAACCATCTCCCTCCCTATATTATACCTCCACATTCACCATTAACCATCTCCTTCCCTATATTATATCTCCACATTCACCATTAACCATCTCCCTCCCTATATTATATCTCCACATTCACCATTAACCATCTCCCTCCCTATATTATATCTCTACATTCACCATTAACCATCTCCTTCCCTATATTATACCTCTACATTCACCATTAACCATCTCCCTCCCTATATTATATCTCCACATTCACCATTAACCATCTCCTTCCCTATATTATATCTCCACATTCACCATTAACCATCTCCTTCCCTATATTATACCTCTACATTCACCATTAACCATCTCCCTCCCTATAGTATACCTCTACATTCACCATTAACCATCTCCCTCCCTATAGTATAACTCTACATGCACCATTAACCATCTCCTTCCCTATATTATATCTCCACATTCACCATTAACCATCTCCCTCCCTATAACGGATCACCTGGCACCCCGAGTGGGTTCCTCCATTGAAGGATGCTCCTAGCGCTTCCTGAGGTCTCTAAGCACTCCAGCCGACACCACAACCACCGTGGACTCCTTCAGAGAGCAGGACAGGAACAAGCTCTTACAAGAGCTTAGCAGTGAATATAGCAAGAGAGTATGCAGGGCATAGCAATCCCTTGTAGCAGATTCCCCCAATAAGAGACGGCACTCCAAATTGAGGGTGAAGTAGAACTGACTGTACTGGCACATACAGCCCCTTTTATGCACATTTTACACACATAGTACTGCCCACAAGATTTTGCATAACAACCAATCAATACGTACAATACACTCAGATACTCCCACACAAAATCCTCCCCTCTGCCTGTGATATAATTACTGAACACAATGGTCTAACTTAATTATCACAGGCAGGAAAATACACAGTTTTACACAATATTCATAACTCTAAAAGTATACATCACATTCACATAAAACTTACATTTTCAGAATCAGCATACGTCAAAATCATACAAATTGGTCCAGTGGGTCAAATGTTAGTTGGAAATCCCTTTGTGACCGCTTGCAAGCATGGCTTGGGTGTGGTAAACCAATTACCTCAAGCATTCAGAAAATGGCTCTATTCACAACAACAGTAAAAACACATAAAAATACATAATTCCTATTATAATTAACAGAACCCCCACATTCAACCTATCCCCAGATCGCTTGGATCTGAGCGCTCACTATATACGAACAGCGCTCAGATGCCACAAACACAGTCAAATCGCCATGGGAGCAACAAGTTCCAACTTGTCTGGCAGTGTCCCTGGGACAACGCCCAGCTGGAGAACAATAGACAGGAAACGGGGGAGGGACACACCTTCTCATGTATTCAAAAGGGGCAGAAAAAGTGTTTCAAAATACAATATGCCCAAATAATGTCTTTAAAGGGCAATACATCCCAGGGGCCATAGTCTCATGGCAGGAAGATGGCAATCAGTCTTCTACAATGCCCAGTGGTGAGGTCGGTTTCACCACAATTATATCTCCACATTCACCATTAATCATCTCGTTTTTCCCTGTGTTTTTAAGATATTTAATGTGAAGATTGCTGCGCAATGTTTAATTCATTGATCACAGGACATTTGCTTGCAGTTAAATACCAGTTTCCAGTGTACGAGCCCAGACTTCACAAACCGGGGCACAGCTATGGCCTGGCCCTTTCTGTGTGGAATAAATCATAATCTGAACTCAAGTGATGTTGCAGAACGTATTTATTATTTTGTGTCTCACACTGTGTGACGCTCAGTATCCGCCTCTCAGGGTTTGTCAGTGTTCTTTCTTTCTTGGTGTCTGTCCCTAAATGTCTGTTAGTCAGTAGTGATGTCCCGAACGGTTCGCGGACGGTTTGCCACGAACGGTTCGCCACGGACTCATCATTGAGTAAACTTTGACCCTGTACCTCACAGTCAGCAGACACATTCCAGCCAATCAGCAGCAGTCCCTCCCTCCCAGATCCTCCCACCTCCTGGACAGCATCCATTTTACATTCATTGTGAAGCTGCATTCTTAGTGAGCTGTCCAGGAGGTGGGAGGGCCTGGGAGGGAGGGTCTGCTGCTGATTGGCTGGAATGTGTCTGCTGACTGTGAGGTACAGGGTCAAAGTTTACTCAATGATGAGTCCGTGGCGAACCGTTCGTGGCAAACCGTTCGCGAACCGTTCGGGGCATCACTATTAGTCAGTGTTTATATTCCAGTGTGTGTCTCTTAATGTCTGTCACTTAGTGTGTCTTTTTCAATGTGTGTGTCTAAGTGTAAGGCCTTCTTTGTGGCTGTTTCAGCATCTGTCAATGAGTGCCTGCCACTCAGTATGTCTCATTCAGTGTATGTCACTCAGTATGTCTCATTCAGTGTATGTCACTCAGTATGGTTCATTCAGTGTATGTCACTCAGTATGGTTCATTCGGTGTATGTCACTCAGTATGTTTCATTCGGTGTATGTCACTCAGTGTGTCTCATTCAGTGTATGTCACTCAGTATGGTTCATTCAGTGTATGTCACTCAGTATGGTTCATTCGGTGTATGTCACTCAGTATGTTTCTTTCGGTGTATGTCACTCAGTGTGTCTCATTCAGTGTATGTCACTCAGTATGGTTCATTCAGTGTATGTCACTCAGTATGGTTCATTCGGTGTATGTCACTGAGTAGGTTTCATTCGGTGTATGTCACTCAGTGTGTCTCATTCAGTGTATGCCACTCAGTATGTTTCATTCAGTGTATGTCACTCAGTAGGTTTCATTCGGTGTATGTCACTCAGTGTGTCTCATTCGGTGTATGTCACTCAGTGTGTCTCATTCAGTGTATGCCACTAAGTGTGTTTCATTTTTGCAATGTCCATCTAGTTTTGATATTTAACTCTTTATCATTGAATGCATTGTGGGTTGTCTTGTGGTAAGTGCTGAGAAAGTTTGTAAAATATTGAGGTTTTAGCATTTTCAGATTATTGTCTTCTTGTATAAGGGTGTCCTGCAACTTCTGAAATCCACGAAAAGCTCGCCCAAAAATGTGAAGTTTGATATCTAACTCAAACACAGGGGACAGGGACACATTTTTTGTATATTTACCAGACAGTTTGCTATCGATCATTTCTAACAATTCCTTACAGTAAGTGTCATTATATCCTGATGTGAGGTTTACCTTCTCTGTAACATATCGATCACACATTGTGATCAGGGAGTCAGCAAACGGCTTTATTTTATGATCATTGTCCTGTCTGGCAAACAGCTTGCCGCTTTTTTTCGGTAACAAGGAAAAAGAATGAGTTTCGTGCATTTCTGTCACCAGAAAATCATTAAGTCCGTATTCCTCCAAACTTATCACGCTGTTTAATTTTGATTTTATATTCGATTCTTTCCAGTGCATGCTATCGCAAAGTTTTTTGAGCATAGATTGGTTTATATCATGTATCTTAAATATCTCGAGCTGTAATTCTGAGATCATCTCGCTCCACATGTCATCAAACTTGAATTTCAAATCTGTCTCATTGAGCCGATAGCTTTTCCTTTTGCACTTCTCCAGGAGAATCCTAACTTTTCTTTCAATTGTTTTCTGATATTTACTCTGAATACACAGAGTTTCAAGCTTCCCTTTCTTGAGTTCGAGAGCCATGTTAATTGTATTATGAGCATTTCTTTCGAGTTCATTTTTCAGACTTTTTACTTTTGTAAATATTTTCTTGTATTCTTCTAGAAGGTGCACATCTTTGGATTTATCCTGAGAATAATTTTCTAGCAATTCTGATATTTTCATTTCCTCCATGCATAGAAGCTTCGCTAGCTCATTTTTCTTGTGACTTGTAAATGTCTCTACATTTAGTGTATCAGCTGATTGATTCTTAATTAGGGTCTCAGTATCAGCCACCCAGCTGTGCACAGCATTGATAAAATCCAAAATGTTGAGATCTATGGACAATTTGTTATACGCTTCTTCCACCAGATTGTTTCTCAAACTGAATATAAACTTCTCGTGTTTTACTGCATTCCACAAATTGTATATATATGAAATGTTTTCACGTGTGTTCAATGGTTTATTAACACATTTTTTTATAAAATTCCATAAATATTTTTTTAGAGCAGAGACCTTTTCACTGTAACCTGCGTTTACTGGAGCCATGGGTGGGACTCCGAGCCAAAAGCCGGGAATGTACCAATGATCTTTCTCAATGTCATAGTCCATCACTTCACCAAATGTTGTGATTCCATACTTTTTTTCCATCTTTGCGGCACGATTAGTCATTTCATCCAACTGATCCTGGAGTTTCTGTCTGTGTTTCATATTCTCCTCCTGAGCGGGCATATCATTCACATTCTGATGAACAAACAGGCATTTCGTTTTTTTTCCTATTTCCTCCATCTTCATAAAAGCATGGATCACACTCTGAAGAATGTCCTTTATCTCTGATGAGTTCTCCATAGCCATGTTAATTATGGTGATATCACTCAGCCCCACTACTAATGTGGCCAGCTCATTGTCATGTTCATAACTGTCCTCCAGAGAAGACAATTCTGGAGCTTTCAGACCTTCAGTATCAATCACCAGAAAAAAGTTACAGCCCAGCTCCTGCCAGATATCCTCTTTCACTTTAATAAGGGTCATGAAAGCCCCTCGTGAACAACTTCTATTGGCCACAGGGAACTGCAAACCAAACATGGTGTTCAGAAGGGTGGATTTCCCCGTACTCTGAACTCCCAGCACAGTGATCACTCTCATTCTGCATTGTCCTCTGGTCTTGGTGTCCAACTCAGTCAGGACATCAGTTATCCACTGCAGGGGGATGTTGGAGGCATCTCCATCAATCAGCTCCAATGGGAACCCATCCAGCAGGAGATCAGCAGCTATTCCTGGGAGTCTATCAAACTGTATCTTCAGTTTATGAATGCGTTTTTCTCTCAGTAGGGCGCATTCAGCCTCGTACAGCTGCCCCATCTCACGCAGGAAGTGTTCAATATTCAGTGTGGATCCTGTCTGTAGAGAAGACAGATTATTTCTAGCAATTGAATCAAGTTTAAGAATCATCCATTTAAAAAAATAATGCTTCTCTTTCAGAGTAAAATGAATGAGGGCATCAATAAAAAGCTTGATGCTGCTCGGAAGGTTATAACGATATTGCTCATGCAGTCCAGTCAACTGACCTTCCAGTTCCTTCAAATATTCTACTCTATTCTTTGCTCCTTGGTTTCTCATTCTGCACATTTCTTTATCCGTTTTAGATATTTGTTTCCACAGATCTCTCTGTAGAAACATTGTTTCCCTTTTATACTGAATTACTTGTTTAATCTCCTTGGTTATTTTTACAGCATGCTCTTTGGCTTTTAAGCATTCCTCTGACATTTCATCTACACGGACACCAAGTACATTGATCGCTTCAGCCATATTTTTAATAGATCTTTTAAGAGAATTATTTATTGAAAAATCTATTCTGGATTGAATTTGTTCCACTATTGATTTTTTATTTTCTGTGCTTTTTTGAACTATTATACTGCTTTTTCCAGTTTTCAGTATAGATGCCAATTTTTGCAGATTCTGAATTGTCTCCGTGGTTAAATCTTTCCCAGGACTCGGAGTGATGATGAAATTATATTCGGTGTCTTTGCTTTCGCAGTTTGATAACATTCTGAATTCTCTCTCCCCGGTGCTCTCAGTAAATATAAACACAGTTGATGAGACCCGGGTTAAGAAGGTGAACTGTGTCCAGTTAGACTGCAGGTCTCCTCGTAGATTGGCCACTGCGATTGGCTCTGGGAAAATGTCTGACTTTTCACTACCAGAAGGAAAATACCAGGACATTTCCACTAGTCCATCAAATATTTTCCTCTCGATGTTCCCTCCTTGCATGTCATAATGTATAAAAAATTCATGATGCTGCTGTGCTGGGCTGAGAACCTGATTCAGAATATATGATTTGGATAATTTAGTTTTCCCCATTCTGACAAAAGAGAAGGTGAGCATTGGAATGTTCACCACATTATCTTCCATAAAACCTTTACTGTCTGCTAATGAGTGAGGTCTCCACCTCTTCACAATGTCTCTCATTGCCCATAACATGAAGGTGCAGTTAGAGCCATCACCAGTAGGGAGCAGCAGAGGGACAGAAAAACTGACACATAGACATCTTGGTTACAATTTCCTGTTGTAAAAAATTATCTGAACAATTCAGGAGAACACACAGAACATCCAGGGGGTGGACAGAGATAGAACATGGACCATCATTTGCAGCATTAATATTAAGACTCCCAAACTGGTTGTTATTTTCATTTAAGTCTCCAGTTAATCTCAGATTAGACCTTTTGCAACAAGAGGTCCTGGCAGTATTGCTAAGAGCCATGAGTTTCTTTAGGAAATGCCAGGGAATGTCCTGTCTATCCCGAGGCTCACTATCCATGCTGTCTCTCCCAATTCTCCTGACATCATTCAGTGTGAGTTTTGAGTTAACATAATCTCCCATTCCCAGCTGTACCAGAAGCTCCTCAAATGCCTTTCTTGTAGCTGAGAGAAAAAAAAAAAAAAAAGTCAAATTTTAATATTTGTAGAATGTGTTCTTTTCAGTAATTGTGTAATTCAGTAACAACTGTAAAGCGAGACCCGGACAAGTTATAGAAGAAAATTAATATTGGGTCATTTCGGGCCATGGGCTGCTACGAAGCAATCCTGTAGAAATAATCTAACCCTATGGACTTACTCTTGGACAGAGTGCTTTTTTTGCCACTGATGTTTCTGCCTAAAACTGCCTCACAGGACCAAGTGATGTGAGCTTCTGCCATAGAAACAATACGATAAATATTTTAAAGTGTGCTCTGCGTGCTGTATAGTCTACTGGGTTCATAATATCTGAAACATTATTCAGTTGATAATAACCTCTATATTATTTATGTGTAAATCAGCTTTTTTGAGTTCATGCAACAAATATCACCGTGGGTAACGTTTGTATGATATGGGGCTCTTCAAGCTATGTATTTCTAGATCAGGAGGGATGCTTTAGATGATTCTAATATCCTTCTTTAATCGGGTCCTTCTCGCCTAGCTCTAGAAACTAGTTATATTGTCCATATTCTTTCATTCCCCTCTCTTAAACCTTTCTTCAGGATTTCTCCTTTCTTTGCAATGTTATGCTCTGAGATGAACAGAACAAAATAGAAACAAATAATAGTGCAGATGTATATGTAACAAAGACTAGATTACGAACTCACTTTCACATGGATCCACATTTGAGAAAGCCTTTGGCGAAGCGCGTTAAGTGAGGACTTATTTTATTCACAGTTTGTTTGGTATTTGTTTTTATTTATATAGCTGTTGTTTCCAGCTTTTTATTTAATAAACCCACTATTTTATACATCATCACCTGTGGAATACATCCTTCATTCAGCCCTCATCATCCTTCCGGTTCCAGCATACATCCCTAGGTGGGGATTGTTCCACCTCAAGTTCTTCATACCAGAGCAGGACATTGCATTGGGTGACACAAGTAGGATATTTTCCTCCATCAATACCAATTGTTTGTATGTACACTCAGTGGCGTACATACCAGGGTCGCAGGGGTCGCGGTTGCGACCGGGCCCGGCCCACCAGGGGGCCCGGCCGCCCCTGCGACTCGGTATGTACGCCCAGGGCCAGCTTCTTCCCCTTGGGGGGCCCAGGAGCCGACCACCCCAGGGCCCCCCGAGGCTAGCCCTGCTGGCCCCGGCGGGCAGGTGGCCGGTCTGGCGGGCAAGCGAGGGAGCACTCACTGCTTCCTCTTCAGCTCCCTCGCGCGCCGCGTGAAGAGGAAGCAGTAAGTGCTCCCTCGCGTGCCCGCCTTCCTGCCCGACCGGCCACCTGCCCAGGAGCAGCACCACTGGACCCCAGGGAATCCCCCCAGCACTTCAAAAGGTAAGGAGGCTGGGGGGATTAAATTTGAAAAGAAAAATGTGTGTGTATTAATGTGTGTTTGTGTATATGTGTGTTAATGTGTGTGTGTGTTAATGTGTGTGTGTGTTAATGTGTGTGTGTTAATGTGTGTGTGTTAATTAGTGTGAATGTGTGTGTGAGTGCGTGTGTGAGTGCGTGTGTGAGTGCGTGTCAGTGAATGTGTCTGTTATTGGGAATGTGTCTGCTATTGAGTGTGTTACTGTGTGTGTCTGTTACTGAGTGTGTTTGATGTCTGTGAGTGTGTGTTTGTCAGTGAAAGTGTATGTTTTGTAAGTGAGTGTGTATGTATGTCTGTCGCTGAGTGTGTCTCTGTCAGTAAATGTGTGTGTCTGTTAGCTAGTGTGTATGCGTCTGTTCGTGAGAGTGTGTGTGTGTGTGTCTTCAGCATTTACCTTTCTCCAGCGTCAGACTCCCCAGTGTCCGCCTCTCAGCTCCGAAATGCACATGAAGGCGCGCGCATTTAAACCGCCCATAGGAAAGCATTACTCAATGCTTTCTTATGGACATTCAGTGTCGCGGAAGCTCCTCTAGCAGCTGTCAATGAGACAGCCACCAGAGGCTGGATTAACCCTCAGTGAAACATAGCCGGCACCTGGCACCCAGACCCCATAGAGGGACCTGGCACCCAGACCACTTCATTGAGCTGATGTGATCTGGGTGTCTGTAGTGGTCCTTTAAGTGTGTGTGCATACCGCGGTCGCGGGGTTGCAGCCCTGCAACCCCTGCGACCAGGTGCCCGCCACCATGTGTTGCGACCCCGACCCGCGCCGAGTAAGCACAGGGGGGTGGGGGCCCACGGATCAATTTTTGCACCGGGGCCCCATGGGTCATGTGTACGTCACTGTGTACACTATACCATTGGATTTTGTATTTTTTTTTTTTTCACATATACCTACTTCATCCTGAAACCAAGCTCCAAAGACCCTCCACTTATATCCATAGACGGGGATTATTCCGTCCAGGCCTTCATATTAGAGCTGAGATAGCTCTAAAAAGTGTGAGTGTGCACATTTGCCCATTTGTACTCCCTGCTTTGTACTTATAGATTCATATACTAAGAATATAATCTGTATCGTATGTATATATAATCTTAAGCGCTGATCACCTCCTGTCTGTTATCTTTACTATCCACTTCACAAGGGTGGAGAGAACCCCTTGTTGGTGATTTGCTGCTAATTATAGATATTGAGCACTTATACTCACCAGTTTTCCTGTCTGTTTGTGTGCCTGCCTGTCTGTGACAGCCTGTGTGTGGCTAACTGTAACTGTGTGTGTGACTGTCTGCCTGTCACGAAGTGTGTGTGACTATCTGCCTGTAACTGTGTGTGTGTGACTGCATGTGTGAGGGGGTGCAGGGATTATGTAGAAGGGGGCAGGGGTTTTGTATTGGGACAGGGGTCTTGTATAAGGGGGGCTGAGCAGGGGATTTGTGGAAGGGGAATGCAGGGGTTTTGTAGAAGGCAGGGCAGGGCAGGGCAGGGCAGGACAGGGGTTTTGCAAAGTTTACAAATTTGTGCAATCTATTTAAAAAAAAAAAAAATGAAAAAACCTTTTAAAAATGTTGCAGGTGTTTTAAAAAAAAAACATTTTGGATTGGGGGGAGAGGGAGAGAGCATAAGCAGAGCCACATTAAGGTTGCACAGGGCTATATGTAGGGTACCAGATTGGGGACCCCTCCTATTGTGTGTAGTCATGTATGTCCCCTCCCACTTAAATTCCCTGGTGGTTCAGTGGGGGAGCTTCATGATCTGTACCAATATCGTGTGCAATTCACCTTAAGAGTGTTCCAGCACTCTGAGTCATCAAGAAGCATCAACTGACTGCAAGGGCACCCTGTGTCTGATAGTGACTCTGTGAAATGAGGGTGCGCAAGGCCATACAGGGGAATCTTTCGATCTCCCTGCCGGTTTGAGGAGGTCCCAGATAAAGCTGGAGCTTGATCATGTATAAACACAGAAAAAGGACAAATTGTTCTCTATTCACCTGACTGGGCGTTCCGCATCCTTTGTGTCGCTGCTGAAGTAGCTGGAGTGAAGATCTGCTGTTCGTCTCTCTCTGATGGTGGGCACCGGTTTTTTGAAAATATATTTTGAACACCTGTAGAAAGTACACCAGTGTCAGTATCATAGCAACTGATATATCTGTCGAGTAATATGGAGCAACTCAAGTTGGAGTTTGTCATTGTCACCTACAGAGATCTATAAGGAGGAGGGACATGGATCAAAGATATAAAAAAGATATTTATCTGGGGTCTTGTTTTGGGGTACATAGACACCCTGTGGTAACATAACTGACTTAAAACTGAAAAAAAAAAATCAGGTTCCAATCCTGGTCAGACCACATTAACAGTAAGTGTCCTTTGACAAGAGACCTAACAATTAGGGATGAGCATGATTAAAAAATGTGGTTCGGTTCGGAAATTTAGGTAAGAAAAAAAAATGCAGCACTTTCAAAATTCGGGACTTCAGCGTTTGGAACATCTATAGGGCTACCTAACCCTACCCATAACCCTAACCCTGTCATCATTCACGTAATTTTCCCTCCCTCTCGTTTTGCCACTTTTGAGAAATCCGAAGCACTTCGGCAATTCGGTACTACGGACATTCGGAAGTATCCGAATTGCCCCAAATTCGTCTGAATTCACATTCGGACCAAAACGAATTGTACATGTCTAATAATGATATATATCCACTTACTCAGATATTTTAATCTTGTTTGGTCAGGGCCTTCTTTACCTCTAAATATCTTCTTTCTATAATTGTAATATACCTCAGAATATGTTAGCGCTATATAAATTATATTAACTGTTTTAGAATGGTTAAGAGTTCTGTTAGTTTAACTGAACTAAACCCTGCAGTACCGGTTTTAACTTTTTGGCTGTTTTTCCAAAGACCCCCAAAGCTGACGTTATGGGAGTGAACCTGATGGGAAATTTACCCAATTTGTCCCTCACCGTTATGGTTATCTTCTTTCTTTGGATGATAATATTTGAGATACTTCATTCCCCAGGAGCCAGTGCTGTATTCTCACATATTTGATGATAGCACAATGGTGGGGGTCTATGGAAGATC